AAACTGCAGGGGTGGTCTGAAAAATGGCAAATGAAATTCAACACCAGCAAGTGCAGCATACTGAATATTGAAAGAACAAATACTGTGAAAGAGACTTAGGGGTACTTGTAGGCGGACCTACGGCCTAGAAACAGTGCGTTAATGTTCGAAATAAGGCAAACAGAGTATTGGGTTTTATATCTAGAAGTGTAAGTAATAAGAGTGCAGAGGTCATATTGCAACTATATCTTGCGCTAGTCAGGCCTCACCTCGATTATGCTGTTCAGTTCTGGTGCCCTTATTATAGAATGGATATAAATTCACTGGAGTCGGTGCAGCGAAGAATGACGAAAATGATTCGGGACTTAGAAACCTTCCATATCAAGATAGGTTAAAAGAAACTAAACTTGCATTCCTAGAAAGACGAAGAGTGCGGGGAGATATGATAGAAGTATTTAAGTAGGTGAAAGGAATCAATAAAGGGATATAGATAAAGTTCTTATAATATCCGAGCAGGATAGGGACTCGTAGCAACGGATTTAATTTGGATAAGTTTAGGTTTAGGAGGAGATAGGAAGAAACTGGTTCACAAATAGGGTGGTGGACGGGTGGAACAAGCTTAGCAACTTTGTAGTAAGTGCTGGAACGCTGGAAAGTTTTAAAGGTAGATAGATTCATGGATGATAGAGTGGTAGTAACTCCCGACGGAGCTGCCATGCACAGGCCAACCGGTCTATTGCAGACTCCTTATTTTCTTATGTTTCTTATACCTAGAGAGAGAGAGAGGCCTGCATTGTTTATGAAGAGACTGGTTGAGATATTTCCTCATAATATTCAGTATCAAAATAAAGCCCTACTAAATTATTTATCATACACGACACTACAATATGGTGTTAGTTTTAGCTCAGGAACATCTTTAGGACAACGTACAGATAAACGCCAAGCTTAAAGCAGAGAAACTTGTTACCTAATCATAAGGAGATTGTGATGTTCTTTATATAAAACAAAACAATATTGGACTGTATCTACTGCAGGTAGACTCGTGGTGTGACGATGTGGGTCGATCATCGTCCTCTCGGGTAGGTTAGAAATGTGTTCAGCTTTGTGTGATATTAGGAAGATGCTTTTTATTCAGAGTTTTTACTACATGAATACTACTACTACTACTACTTTTTTTTTAAATTGGCCTCCAGCCTCCCCCAATAGCCATACATTCGCCACCATTTTTTTACCTTAATATTAAATATCCTAATACATAAGTAGCTATCCTTGCTACTACTTTTCCAACTTTTTTTTTTACGTGGCCTCCAGCCTCCCCCAATAGCCACACCTTCGCCACCATTTTATTACCTTAATATTAAGTATTCTAATACATAAGTAGCTATCCTATCTGTGTTGAATTAGTTGAGCTGCAGGTCTATGCGGCATTCAGTGACTGTAGCCTCATAGTCAATATCTGCAGCTGTTGTCGGCTTTGGGGCAGAAGCTCTCGTTCCCCTGAGGCAAAGCAAAGCTGACCAAAGGAGAGAGAAAGACAGTCGACATCTCATCCAGGCTGTAACATAACTTCTGGGCTGCTGCTTCTGTTTGGAGATCACCTCCGCGAGTCTGGCGTAGAAACATCTGGCACTTGGTCTCATCCCACCAGAGGTTGTGAACACTAGAGGAGTGAAGCTGCCTTGATCAACGTTCTGAATTCTCTCCCCGTATGCCCTTATCTTGTCGTTCTCGTTCCTCCTGTGTGCAGCACCGAGAGCTAAATTACAGTAACATGCAGCCATGGGATCAAAAATCCTGATGTCGAAGAAGGCTCGCTGTCCCCGTGTCCAGAATCCTCGAGCATTGACGTCAACACGGGCTTCGTTGGATGTGCTTGAAGTCCTATGTTGGAGAGTCTCACCGTCCAATGGAAGAAGGGTCGGTTCTACCATGACATCACAGCATATTTCCCTCAACATATTTGCTGTGAGGTCCCTTACCTCGTCATGCCTCATGCATATGAAGCCCCCTTTCTTGCACACCATGGCGTGATCGCCATCATAGGAAGAGCCACACACGCATTGGGAGGGCAAACCTTCTACTGGCCGACCGTACCTTAGAGCAATGGCATCTGTAAATTCTTGTTTATTAAGACTGAAACCATTAGCCCTTATCGGTAACGTAGTTAACCAGTTCGAGGCGCCCACTTCCTGCGCTGTAGCTACTTTTTTTTCAAATTTTCTGGTACCTGCAGCAACAGTTGCTGCAGCTTATCACTTTGGCAGTGCTGTCGTTCTGTCGTAATGGACCTACGAATCTTGTTTACTTCACTGGTATCCAACTCCCCTGTTGCGTTCTGGGCTATTATGTGGTCCGTGAGGGCTGCCGTGAGCTTAACTGAATTTTGATGTTCGGTGGCAGCAATCTCCTCTGGATTGATTAGTCTCATTCCTCCCAGTCTTGATGGAAGTGCAAGGAGTGATCTTTCTGCTGGGGTTAAGAGGGGGTGTTTCACTAATTTGGGAATTAAATTGACACCGATAGCTTCTTCCAGAGGGTGGAGGAGGGGTCCGATATCAGGGATAGTACGCATCAGGTAGTTCCAGCGATGCTTGACTCCATGGGTGAATGCCGCAAAAGCTGCATGTGGCTCTGTGTTAGCAATCTCAGACAGAGCTTGGATTTCCTTGACCCACTCATTCACCTTTCCCGCTACGTACTCGGTCTTGAAGTCCGTAGTGCCAATTACTGCGCCTAGATGTCTTTGGCCATCCTTTATTTTGACCTCACTTCCGCCAAACACCTCCATTGCCCGTTCATAATGTTCTGGCTTCACAATGAGGAAGGACTTGCTGGCGTTTGGGTGGTACCCTATTTGTGGACCTCGCGATGTTATCAGGTCCCACCACTTTTTGATGTCCTCCACTTTTCCTGCTCCTGTAAGGTCATCAGCATATGCCACTTGTTTGACCTCAGTTGTTTCAATTTTTATTTCTTGTTGGAGCACTGATAGGCCTATTGCGTACATTGCCATCGCAACGGGGTCCCCCTGTGTTGTTCCCTCAGTTGACTGTAAGATGGTATCACCTCTTAGAGCAGAGGTTCTTACCTGGGGTTCATGGACCCCAAGGGTCCATGGATGGGCTTCAGGGGTCCGTGAAGGTCAGATAAAATTTACATTTATATTCAAGCCAAACAACAACAACCTTCTCATCGAAATGAACTTTTGAGCAGAATTAAAGTTTTGTTTGCTTAATTTGCACAAGATGATTGTATTTCATTTTGTATGGAGTGGCCATTAATTTTTGCAAAAGTGTGAAACATAATTCTTTTGTTAAGATTGTTTACTTTATTCATACTTTGTGTATGTCATACACTGTATGAGGCAATGAATTTTCAATAAAATAAAGTATATTCATTGCATGCAAAGTTGTGTTTATGTGCTTATGTGCATTTTTCTAGGGAGGGGGTCCATAGCTTCCACCAGATTCCCAAAGGGGTCCGTGACTCAAAAAAGGTTAAGAACCACTGTCTTAGAGCCTTGTTGTTTACTTAATAGAGGTCTGATAGATTCCTATACGAGTTTTCAACATACATTGCAAAGCTTGGACACTTGATCTTGATGTTGTGCAGTGCGGCCTTGCGGTTAAGTATGTTGAATGCGTTCGATGCATCCTCCAGGAGAACGGCCTCACAATCACGCTGCTCAAATATCAATCTCAAGGCGTGAATGGCGGTCTCCCCACCAGCCTGGTGGCCAGCACACACTTGTAGGTTCCCTGCTGCTGCCCTGACATCATCCTTTACCACCTCCATTATGCATTTGCCGATGATCCGCCTCAGCACTTCCCTCACCCCTATAGGCCTACATCCTGGATTCTTATCCAGGGAATGAGGCGGCAGGACGTCAGAGCATGGAGGTGATGGCAGCAAAGAGGTGCAAGCTTTCTTGCAAGGACGGCAATGGCAGTGCAGAGATCACTTTCTACAGGGCCAAACTTGTTTGTGCTGAGGATGACTCTCAACCGTTTGCATCCAGACCTGAAGGGCCGGCTCCTCCTCGAGTCTTCAGTGCCTTTTCCACACCATCTCTCCTGTTATTTTCTCGAACAGGACAGCATTTGGTGGGATATAGTCACCCTGGAACCTGATGCCTTCCTCACTTGCAGGGGGATGTTTTTCTTCAGTAGTTTTAATGTCTCTCTGTTTATTGGCAGAACCCCACCGGAGGATTCCTCTGTGAGAGATCTTACCGCCAGAGACACTTTTCCCACACGCATTTTGTTTCCAAATTGTCTTGCCACGTCATCGGTGTTTTGCTTTCCGTCACCTGTAATTTTTAGTCTCTCCTGCAGTGTTCTTGCTTCACATAGGAGGTCATCAAGGGCCCCAGTCTGCCACATTGCCAATTTTCTCTTCATTGCTGCCGCATTTTCTTTGTGCTTAGTCTTTGTCTGTGTCCTCTGACAAAATAGATGTGGTATTATTTCCAGTACAGTATTTGAAGAGCTAAAGGGGCGAGGAAGCGGTCCTGAGTGTAATCAGTTGTGAGGCGAATCATCTCCCGAATCATTTCTTTGTGGCCGGATTACTACTACTACTACTACTGATAATAATAATAATAACAATAAGTAGTGAACATATTTAACCACTTGTTGATCACGTGTTGTATACAAAAGGAGAACTACGTATCTTTACTGTGCCGATTCCGTATTTCAAACATCCCTCACAAAAAACCCTCTTATTTAAGCATTTAGTTAATATTCAACTTCCTTAAGAACACCACATTAAGTGTTTCTCAAGTATATAATTAGTTGGATATTTGCATAAATCATGTGGGGAAAACATTACGCGGGTAACCAAACCCGCGCTCGCATCGTTACCAGAACCATCACGCCTCGCTGCCCTTCTCCCGCCTTCACCCTGGGTAAGACATCAGACCTTGGCGCGACTCCATATATGGCGACTTCTTCCACAGCCTCTTGCCTCTTCCCTGCCGCTTTTCATCTCTGGATCCATTCATTACCGACACATTTGCATCCATGCGGTAAACGTGCTGTGCCGGGGATGACGTAGTCGTGTAAAGTGATGTTTTTATTTAGAGGTGACGGTGTTGGCGCGCATATGTTGTTGTTATGGAAGATACGGTAACACTGACACTGTTTTGTTCTCAGGATGGAAACAAACTCTTATAAAAAGGTGCCGACAATTGGTGGTGGTCTAATAAAATTATTGTATATTAATACAAGAGAGAGAGAGAGAGAGATCTAACCGCCCAATAGGCCTGAACACGTCGCCTCAGAGAAGGGGGGCGTCTCTATATCCCCCAGGTACGTTTGCCGCCCATCCATTATGTATGGTAATGGGAATGTATTACAACCACCATGGCACCATTCTTAGTGTAAATTCTTATCAACGGAGATAAGAGTTAATTAATTTATTATATGTACTGTACAATGAGAAGTATTAATACTTCTTGTAACACTTACTATATTTACAGTACCTGCTTTTATTGTACCACCAAAACCGTTTTATCGGAAATTATCATGTAAATGAATAAGTAATTACCATTGCAATAAACATAATTGCCAACTAGACATAATCCTGAAAGCTCTGTCCTCTTGTTCAACCTTATTACTGTACAACCCATGTTGTACTGCTCCCCGTTATACTTACGTTTTCAATTCCACTGTAATTTATGTATAAAAAAATGAATACAAAAATAAAAAATATAAATAAATAAATAAATATTGAAGTGATAACCGTGGTAACATTATGAGATGTTCTTATTACTACCATGTTGTACTATTATTCAGATGATAATAAATGTTACATAATACTTCCTTGAGATAAATGTATAGTATATATCAGGTGCAGCTCAGGTTCTCAACTGGCTCAGCCATGTTAATATTGTTATTATTATCCTCTGTATCTGTGTTTTTCTGGCTAAATAAAATGTTTCAATTCAATTCAATTCAATCATAATCACATTAAAATTAATATTAAAATTGATAAAAAAATAATAATGATAAATATAATTGATTTTACGATAATTTTTTAACTCATGAATCATTACTATAATTAGGTTTGAGAGAGAGAGAGAGAGAGAGAGGGAGAGAGAGAGAGTGTCATAATGTACGTGACTGGGAGGGTCAAACACCCACACGCTCCACTGGGTTGTTGGGGGCTCACCTCCCTCACGTACGACGATGCTAGACGTGTTCTCTTCTGTGTGAGGCATGAGAGAGAGAGAGAGAGAGAGAGAGAGAGAGAGAGATAATATTTATATTGAAACAGTTTATTTAGCCAGACGAACACAGATACAGAGTGGATAATAATAACAATATTAACATGGCTGAGAACCTGAGCTGCACTTGATATATACTATACATTTATCTCAAGGAAGTATTATGTAACATTTAGTATCATCTGGAATAGTACAATGTTACCACGGTTATCACTTCAATATTTATGTTTTATTTTACATTTATATTATAAGTATATACATATTTTACAGTGGTGTTGATATACATAAACATGATAAGGAAGGGAAGCAGCACAACACGGGTTGTATTAAGGTGGAACAAGAGGACAGAGCTGCTCAGATTTGGGAGATCACCGAAGATCCCCACGACAACTGAGAGTCTTCCAAACACAACATTTCACGCCTGCTGAATGACCATTTTAAACTTACTGAAGTCAAGTTTGACCGTGTTCAACGCGTAGGGAAACCCAACTCCTCCCGCTCCCGAGACATCACAACAAAGTTCTCTTCCCCTCTGTGTCCGTGACGAAGTCTTCCACCAGCGCAGTAAGCTGAAAGGCACTACTGTCTTCGTCAACGAGGAACTATGCCCAGGAGATGGAAAATTTAAAGAAGTCAGGAAACAAGTGAAACGCGTGACGTTCGATAATACCCTTGTGAGGAAATTTCAGGCAAGTGGAACTGGATACTCACTAGTCACTCACAAATCGGATTTTCTAGAAGTCAGACTTGGTACTCCCGGAATAACCTGTTTTATCGACGACACCCACGGAGCTCACCACACACACGTCCCACGGAATACACAAAGACATATTAACGATCGTCGGTTGAGGTAGACAGATGGATGGACACATTATATACACTAGATAGATATAGATACATAAATAGATTTAACGAGAGATAAAGTTGAACTAATTCATCAAACAGACACAAACTTTGTCTGTGTCTGTGTCTGTCTCTGTCTGTGTCTGTCTCTGTCTGTGTCTGTCTCTGTCTGTGTCTGTCTCTGTCTGTGTCTGTCTCTGATCTGTCTCCCTCTTCCCAGATTGTGACGAGAAGTGAATCACGTAACACTGAGTTATTGGAGTTTGTGATTTAGGTACTTGGGAGCACCTGAAGATTAAACACCCCAGCTTATTTACCTTGAGATTAACTAACCTAACCCAACCCACTCTGACTTACTCAGCTTAACTTAATATAACCTAACATAACAAACATAACTTAACCTAACCTAACCAAACTAATCTAAGTTACATGACCTAACCTAACCTACCCCAGGTAATGTTCGGGTGTTTAATCATCAGATGAAATAAGCTGAGGGGTGTCTAAGCTTCAGGTGAATCATTGTATGTAAGGTACAGGTCCTCCTGAGTTAAGTAAACCTCTAAGTTAAAATAAAGAACAGACCGTAACACCCCCCCCCCTTCTCTCCCGCCACCTACCTCCAGTCTTGTGGAGGAGGGCATACGCACGTTTGAGAATCCACCTTTATGTCGTCACAAGTGGAAGGTGAATTATACGGGAGTTGATAGATTTAACTAACGACCATTTGAGACTCCCTCGTAAGGTGAGTTGGTCGCCGCTGTCATCATCGCTCAGGCAACACAAGTCATGGAGCTTGGGAAGTGTATATATGGGAAACCTTCACTAGGTCAAGGTCACATGGGGGTCAGGGAGGACGAGATGCCACTGTGGTGTAGAGGTCTCGGTGTTGAGTCTGTACGAGGAGGAGGAGGAGGAGGAAGAGGAAGAGGAGGAGGAAGAGGGCAGAAGGAAGAGGAAGAGGGGGGAAAGGAGGAGGAAGATGGGAAGAAGGAGGAGGATGAGGGGAAGACGGGGAGGAGGTGGTTTCGGGACATGTCGGGACGAAGTGGTTACCTGTAGTGTGTGTGTGTGTGTGTGTAAAATAATAATAATAATTGACGGTTTATTGAAAGAGCATGGCAGCCAGAAGGCTGAAAATATACAATTACATAATTGGGGAATGGGTCTCTTGATTTACAAATAATTACAGGTAACATAAGTGATACAAATATGATATATAATAATTAGGTGTTGATAATTTTTACAATGGTTGGGACTGGGCTGTTCTTGTAGCAATCAGTTTGTGCTCCTATGGGCTGGATGCGGTTGGGCAGGTGTGTGGCCAGGACAGTAGCTTGGGGCAATGCAGCTGTGCTCCATTCTTCACGTTATGTTCCCCTAGGGAACATAAGGGCACGGGGGTGGAGGAGACTGCAGTGGGAGCGGGTAAACAAAGTGAAAGGTTACAGGGAAATAGTGTTAGGAATGATGACAAAACTAAATTAGACAGGGAGTTAAAACCTAAACGCGGTAAAGAGAGGACTCAGAACACGACTAACTTAAATGTCTACTCCGCGAACAGTAGAAGTATGAGAAACAAAGTGGATGATATTAGGGCCTTGGTATGTCCCGAAAAAATCGATATAATAACATTCACTGAAACATGGATAAACCTAGACTCACGTGAGTTACCGGTCGAATACCAAATTGCGGGTTACAAATTGTCCCATACCAATAGGCAGACCAGGAAAGGAGGCGGAGTAGCAATCTATGTCAAGGATAATCTGAAGTGTGAAATAAATAAGGAAATAAAAACTGAGCAGAATACAGAAACAATTTGGATAGAATTAATCGACGGTCGGGAAAAATTAATCACAGGAGTAATATATAGACCTCCCAATCTTGATAGAGTCAATGAGCGACTTATCTGGGATGAAATGTGCAGGGCTTCCATACACAACAAAGTCTGTATAGTAGGCGATTTTAACCTGGCCAAATAGATTGGACTGACCTTACAGGTAACTCAGAATCAGAGGATTTCCTCGAAGCGATCCAGGACTGTTTCCTAAGTCAACATATAACCGAACCCACCGGGGTAATAATATACTCGATTTAGTTCTGTCAAACAGAGAAAACCTCATTAGCAATGTCGAGGTGGGAACGAACTTGCAAACAGCGATCACAAAGAAATTAGATTCCAGTTAGATTTTCAGGTCAGACGTAAGGAAAATTCCATTAAAGTCCCAGATTTCAGAAGAGCAAACTTTGATAGTTTAAAGAGGCAGTTGAGAGGGGGTTGTCGCGCTGGCGTGAATCTGACAGATGACACCGACCTGATAACGAGATCTGAGATTGTCGAGTTCCACGACAATTTAAAAAATGAGTTACTTAATGCACAAAGGCAGAACATACCATACAAAAAACTCAGATCAGACAACAATGACCCTAAATGGATAAATAATTATTTAAAGAACATTATTGGCCAAAGGAAAGCTATAGGTAGAAGGATAAACCGTGGCGAAATTTACCTCCGGGAGTATTATAAGGTATTGGCCGGTAGGGATGTTGATAAATCCAGATGGGCAGGAGGAGATGGGGAAGGGGAGGGCCCGACAGACCAGGCTGGCAGCTGTCTCATAAGAACATAAGAACATAAGAAAATAAGGAGTCTGCAATAGGCCGGTTGGCCTGTGCGTGGCAGCTCCTGTCGAGAGTTACTACTACGGCCGCGTTAGCGGGCAGCGCCGACTACACACGTCCTTACCCTATGAAGGCTGAGGGAAGAGTGTGAGTGTGTGTGTGTTTATAATAATAATAATAATAATAATAATAATAATAATAATAATAATAATAAAAATGAAAATAATTATTAACGGTTTATTGAAAGAACATGGGGCCAAAAGGTTAAAATATACGGTTACATAATTGGGGAATGAGTCACTTGATTGACAAATAATATACAAGTAACATAAGTGATACAAATATGATATATAATAACTAGGTGGGGAGAAGGTCATACTACAGGACATTTCAATATGGTGCAAAAATAAGATTGGGTGGGTGTAAATACACTGGTTGACTACGAGTTGTTGATAATTTTTACTATGGTTGGGACTGAACTGTTCTTATAGCGATCAGTACGTGTTTGTGTGGGCTGGATGCGGTTGTGGTGTCGAACAGCAATTCGGCGGCGAGGGATCTTAAGTGAAAGTAGGAGCCGGTGTCGAAGATGGTGCAGAAGCTTCCCCCCACCCACCCCCCTCCCCCCCAAAAAAGTTACACATGAGGTCGTGGTGATGGTCAGTGAAAGCCGAGTGGGTCAGTGTGTTGAGCGCTTCTTGATATGTGGACTAGGAAGGGAAGAGAATAATCTTGCATGCCATCTTTTGCATTTTTTCTAGGTGTTTACGTTGTGTGGCATTTAGGGAGGAGCTCGGGCGCAGGAACTCCGAGGGACTTGAGTCGCCGCCGCCAAATTAAAACGTTTTAAATTGATTCCTGAGAAGATACAAGTCCACCTGTACAAGGCGCTGGTGAGGCCTGTGTTGGAGTACCCGCACATACCACTCGTCACACTCGGGAAGACCAGACTACAACAACTACAGAGTTTCCAAAACCAGTGTCTGAGGTCAGCCAGTGGCCAAGTGCCACCCTTCCAGGAGTCAGTGAAAACCATCCACGTGAGAAATAAAACGGAGGTCCTCAACGTCAGGTTCCATCGCCTCGGGAAGAAGGTTTGGGGACAAGCTCCTGGACGACCCTCACAGCCCAGACCACCTACGCGGGAAAGACATCAACGGAGGCCGACCCCACGCCTGGTGAGTCTGCCCGCACTACAACAACCCAACCCGCGACCCATCTATGTCCGCCACAGTGATCCACCTTAGATTAAAACGTAGATGATATAAGATCACATTTAACAAGTCACAATCTTGTGAGTTCATAACATAATATAGTCATAAGATTTCAATAAACATGTAACTATAAATCAAACTAGTCATTGTCAGCCAAAGTAACCATTGTGCATCCTCATCCTAAATCCTAGGTTAGCTTAGTTAGCCAACAAACTCTGTAATATGTAAAACAAGGGGTGTCGTCCCCCTCTGTTTAACTCATTAAACTTCTTTTCCAACCTTTCCCCCCACGACTATCTGTCGTGACTTCTCTATCCCTCATGTCTGGCTGTGCCTTGAGCCCCAGCATGCCTTCCATCATTTCCCCACCTTAACCTAAGAAAAAGTACAGCGGAGGAGGTGGAGACGAACACTGGAGGATTTGACACTTGTACTGACGTGTGTTTTCCAATTCGGATTGTTATCTATAGTACGCCGAGGAGCTTGGTGGAGTCCACAAGCAAAGTAAAGGAGGGTCTTGGTACTTCTCTAATTCCAAGACGACTTTGGGTGGTTGTGTAAAGTAAGTATAATCCTCCCACTAAAATTACATTTATTAAAAAAAAGATTATAATAGGAGAAAACATTCTTGAGTAACAAGCTTGAGCTTAACGAGGCTAAAGCTAACACGGGCGCCAGGATCATCTTCTACCAGAGGTTGTTTACAGACATGCTCCCAGAACACTATATTCATCTGCCAAATGACGAGAGGCGTAGGGTAAATATGAAGCTCATGAGGGGATGTTATAAGATGGGCAAAGGGAGCTTCACGGTAAGAACGTGAAGCCTCTTCACGGACCTCGACAGCCTAGTCCTCCATCGCCTACTACCATACGGTGTGGTGTCGGTGACTGAGGTCGTCTCAGTTACTGAGGGCGAGAGAGAGAGAGTCAGATAGACAGGCAGATAGACAGGGAGACTGACAGATAGGCTACAGAAAGAGAGAGGAGGGGGAAGTAACAAAGACCACAGACGGGAAAGACCAAAATATCATTCCTCGGACTTGTAAGAGAGAATTAAGTCGACATTGCTTCCTTTCTCTCCCCCCCCCTCCCTCCCTATTGCTTCCTCCTATCCCTTCCCTTTACCTTCTTCCTCCTTCCACCTTTAAAATCACTCAATTTATTTAAAGGCATGAAGTAATTAAATTTATATTGCATTGTCTTTTCATTATGCTCCATTAATATTCACCTTTCGTTCGACTATGGTGTTCTGTTCAGTTTGTAAGAACTTTGCTGGGTCCGTAACTTGGCTCAGTAGTCAATATAAACGCAAATATGAGAAAAAGGTTTTGTTAAGTCATCCCATAAAGGTACGCGCGTTGAAGGGTTCGTTTTCTGTGTTAGTAGTGTGCTGGACGGACGAGTTTGAAGGGTGACTAAAAGATTCCAGTTATTATAGCAGTGTGCCTATTGACGGTGTATTTATGTATAAACTTACATATTTATATAATTATTAGATCACAAGGGACATTAAAATCATGATGGAATATCTGAAGCGTTACTGGATTCTTTTATTTATTTATTATTATTGTTTTTTTTTTACAGTTTAGAAATCGGTAATAAGAATTTCTTAGTTGTGACTCTATAGACAAACTGTGTAGCGTTTGTTATGTATTTTGTTAAATAATTTTACATCTTGTTTTGGACCGATGTTCCTCAATTTTCCTCGTTTGGATCTCACTGATTCTGTAGAGGAATGATTTAACATCTAAATATTTACTATAACTTAAAATGTTTTTGGATAAATGGTCTCTATAAAATTGTGACGTAATGTATTTGTAGGAAATTTACTCTTTGTAAGACTTTTTACGCTATGTGACTAAAGAGTGGGGAGAAAATGTTTATTATAGAGCGAGGAACATATTGGTAACATAGAATGGTGCACTGTATAAGTTATAACCCCAAAACAAAACAGTAATGAAAGCGAACCATCCATACCGTGACATACGAGGTGTTTGGCTGAGCATTGGCTGTAGCTTAACTGTTGTTGACTCCATATTGTGTTTTTTGTTTTTGTTTTTAGGATAATGTCAAATGTTTATCCTGCATTTTATCAATATTAATTGGTTATTGTTTTTACATCTCTTGTCTACTTCTTATTTCTTTAATGATTTATTGTTGTTTTTGTCTGTGATATATTATAATTAAGAAATACAACCACACACACAGTAACCCCTCAACGACAATAAGGCAACTTAATCTATTTTCTTTCTCCTCCCCCACACAGTCGCCTCAAGACGGAGCTATCATGGCTTCGACGTCGGGGGGCAGTGAAGACAGACGACCCCCCTCAGCAGCAACAGGTGGTGGGTGTTGGGGTAGGCGTGGGGGCGTCGTCGAGGGCGTGTGGTCGGTGCCGCGTGGAGCTGGGGCTGATTATCAACAGAGGCGCGGTGTGCAGGGCGTGTAGGCAGAGGGTATGTAAGCAGTGCCGGGAATTTAGCGTGAATGGCCGCGACTGGGTGTGCAACGTCTGCCATAAGCACATGTGAGTACTCTGACCCTGTGTGTGTATTTTAGTGTTTTATTTTCATGCACGTGTAAGTATACTGTGTCCTTGTGTTTGTGTGTATTTTAGTGTGTGTTTTTTTCTCATATGATCACGTGTAAGTATGGCGTCGTATTTCTTCAGTGTTTTATTTTGAACGACGTGGTTTATACAAATATATGTTTGTTTGTTTGTTTTTTAATATACAAGCACGTTGAAGTGTTTTGGTGTATGTATCAGTGTTTGTGTTTTATTCAAGAAGACGTGAGGTTTTGTTACAATGTTTTTTTTCTGTTTTTATACAAGCAGTTGTAAGTACCTTGGTGTTTTTTTTTAATTATTATTTGTGTTTTATTCAAGAAGACGTGAGATGTGTCTAGGGGGTACAGTACCATCCAACGTGAGGTACATTCCTTGCGTATCTCTACCAGCGATGCGAGTATATGGTGGTGGTGATGGTGATAGTAATGGTGGTGATGGTGATAGTAATGGTGGTGATGGTGATAGTAATGGTGGTGATGGTTGTGATAGTGATAATGGTGGTAGTTGTAGTTTTAATAGTGGTGGTGATATAGGTGATGGTGGTAGTGGTGATGTAAGTAATGGTGATGATGGTAATGATAGTTATACTGGTGGTGGTGGTGGTGATGGTTATAGTAATAGTAGTAATAGTAATGGTTGTAGTAGTGGTGATGGTGGTAGTGGTTTTGAGGGAATGAGGAGGTTGGGTCGGGGTAAGGGGGACTGCCTTAAAATGCAGGGAAATACCAGAACCGCAGCAGATTTCCAGGAAGAGAGGGAGAGACTGGCTGGCTGCGTAGCGTCCTCATACAGTTCTGTTGGCCCGTCTTTCCTAGGATCTACATTTCTTCACTATTTCCTGTGATGGCGCCTATTTTATACGTTTTCTATGACTATTGTATAAGATAGAGTTAAAATAGTAAGGGTTGCCTCTTATCACGTTCAATTTCTATGATAATTAATTAAGTGTATTATCCATTGACATCTTCTTCGTTTACTATTATTATTATTATTATTATTATTATTATTATTATTATTATTATTATTAAACGCTCGTAATAACTTATTTTGCGTGGTAAAAGTGAGTCATTTCCCGCCTTGAATGTCATTTGACAATTTTGGCGGGAAATCTGAGGGTTACGAGGAGAAAGCTTACCTAGAATGGCAAGTTATAGAGCAGATGCCAGTTACTGTTTATTACTCTCATTTATTATTATTATTATTATTATTATTATTATTGTGATTATTATTATTTTTATTATTACTATTTTTATTATTATTATTATTATTGTTGTTTTTATTATTATTATCAGAATATATTATGAAAAGTTAAGTAATACAAGAAAGAGAAGTAGAAAGAAGGAGGAATAAGAATAGTGAAGAAGGAAGGAAGAGAAGGAGAATAAATAAATATGGTGGCGTTGTAAGGACTAGAGTGCGTGGAGAGTGCGATAGGGTGTGGGTATGGCTGGCAGGGCGTGTAGGAAGTGAGGGGAGAAGCAGGGTAGGCGTGGAGGGCGCGGGGGCAGGTGTGTGTGCACGGGGAGGGCGCGGGCAGGTGGGAGGGCGGGGGCAGGTGTGGAGGCGCGGGCAGGTGGTGGGCCTGGGGCAGGTGTGGGAGGCGGGGCAGGTGGAGGACGTGGGGCAGGTGTGGAGGGCGCGGGGCAGGTGTGGGGCGCTGGGATATGAGTGGACGGTTCAGGGCAGGTGTAGGGCTCGGGGCAGGTGTGGAGGGCTCGGGGCAGGTGTGGAGGGCGCGTGGCAGGTGTGGAGGGCCTGGAGTAAATAAGGTGTGGGGGAATACGGGGCAGGTGTAGGGGAATGCAGGGCAGGTGTAGATGGCGCGGGGCAGGCGTGAGGGACAAGGGGCAAGCTTGGTTAGCGTGGGGCAGGCGTGGTGTGGGTGGCGGAGGAGTGGGCAAGCGGGGCAGGCAGGCAGGCTGGCAGGGAGGGAGGTGGGCTGGTGTCCGCCTGTGCCCAGGTGAGTCATGACGGGACTTACAACCTCCCTCACTCCCACACTCCTTCCCTCCCTCACCCACCCTCCCACACTCCCTCCTCTCCTCCACACCTCCTCCCACACCATTATACAACCACTAATCCCTTACCCAAAAAAAGTAATTCTTTCCTCAATTATCACCAACTGGTTCCCTCCATTAGAGATAGTTGAAGTTATTTTTAACCTTTAGAATTACTCTGAAATTGAAGAGTTACTGTACGACATTTTGGACAATATGGTTTTGGTCCCAGCGAGGCACCTTGTGTTACGCCAGCCGCACCCCTGCCAGAAGTACGAAGAATTCATTATTTATTTATTTAATTTTTTTATCGTAGAAGAACAATATTTAGTGTAGATTATGTGTTTTTTGGTGGTTAATATTAGTCTTGTAAAGTATTGATTTAGTTTGGTCTGGGGGAGACGAGAAGGTGGATTGTTGGTGTTTGATATTTGTTATGGAGATGTGGGCAGAAGAGGCGT